CTGAGGCAGGAGGCAAGTGACCAGCATGTACCCCGACAAGGACTGTTCCAGGGTTTCATGGCAGCGCTGCAGCTGTGGTCAGCAGTAGTCCTGAGACCATCATGGAAATTCCAGAAATAATTCACACAGGAGCCTGGCATGGTGGCGTACACGGTAACCCCAGCTCAGAGGAGGCTGAGGCAGTAGGATCGCTGTGAGTTCGAGACCACTGTGTAGCCCGTGCTACATGTGAGTTCAAAGCCAGTCTGGGGTACATAGTGAGACCCTGTCTCAAAACAAAAACACAAACGGACAAATAACTATACATGGAAATTCTAGAAATAAGCAATTCACACGCAGCTCTGAGGGGCCCACTGCTGAGAACCCGTTTGCACAGTTCTTCTCTTGATTCCTCACCTCTGCCTGTGTCTGCTCTAGCTGCCTGGGCCGTCAGATGGCCTCCAAGGCCTGCAGTTCTATGCGACCCTGACTGACTTAATGATGGCCCCAAAGCTCAGAAGCCCCAGCACCAAGGGGCCTTGGGCAGCACGAGGAGAGGGCAGATCTGCTCTGGCACTAGGTGGCAAAAAGACCAGGCACACAGGGAAAAGCAGAGTAAATATCAGGCTGATTGAGGACTATCCACTGGGGGTGTCAGGAGTGTCCCCCAGAAAGGACGGACTACTGCACTAATAAAACAGAACAACGTGATAGACAGTGAGTGATGCCTAGATAAAGCCTCAGGTGACTGCAGGCCCAGCTGCATGGTGAGAAAGAAGCAGAAGTCTTGTAGGTAGGGGTGCATGCAAAGACCCTGAGGTAGGGAAATAATTGACAACTTCAGGGAATTGGGTGAGGCTGTGAGGAGGCAGAGATAAAGAGCAAGGAGCAAAAGATGTCAGAGAGGAAGCGGTTGGAGGGGAAGATTCCTTATCTGAGTGACCGTTTGCCATCTCAGGGGGCTTTGAACACACGATATCTCAACTCGTCCCCTAACTGTCCTATTATTCAGATAAGAAACCAGTCTCAGGGAAACTTCCTGAGGGTCACAAAACTGGAAATTAGTGGGACAGGAATTCTGACCGAGGACTGTGCTTGCACAGCTCCAAAGGGAACACGCACACAGCTAGGGAAACTGTTGGGGTTTGGACAGTGAACAGCCTGGTGCACTGTTCATGGCAACCCCTGTGCCTGCTCAGATTTATTTTCTCAACATGGAGCTGCTAGGAATATGAAGATTTATCCTGTATCCTCAGAGGCCCACTGACAAGCTACATCCTGAGACGAGGATGTGGAGGAGGTCATAGGCTTCACCCCCAGCATTACAGAAAGGGAGGGAGGGGAAAAGAAAGAAAAAAAAATTAAAGATACTATCCTGGCCCTTGACAAACACCTGCTGTGCTTCGTAGCTCACAGAGATGAGGCGGCATGGGGTTGTGTCAGGGACGGCACGAGTGGCATCGTGAGGGATGTGAGGGATGCCATCTGGCCTACAGGCTGAGCCCGGTGTGTAGGGTCCTCCCAGACTGGCACCAGAAATCTCAAATGCTACCCACCGTGGGTGCATGTTTCCAGCAGTCTGCAATGTTTACCACCCGAACATTTGTTATTCTATATTTTATTGAAACAGGATCATCTAGGTCAAATTTGGTAAATCTAAAAAGTAAAATACCTGTAATCTCACCAGTGGAACACAAAGCCTTCCCACATTTTCAGGTATTTCCTTCTCATTTTCTCCCTTGGAGAGCAACACTGAGTGTATTACATACCACACATACACACCCCACAGACACGCACACACACCTATACACCCACACGTTTGCCTTTATTGAGATCTGAGTTACATTGTTTATTTTTTGTTTTTTGAGCCAAGGTCTCACTATGTAGTTCAAGCTATCTCTTTGAATTCACCAGATAACCCAGCCTGGCCTTGAACTCATAGCAATCCTCCTGCCTCAGCCTCCTGAGTACTGGAATCACTGTGCTGCCGTGCCTGGCTAAGTCATAGTGTATAGAATTAAGTTATAATGTATAAAATTCCTACATTTCCAATGTACCAGTCTATGCCTTTCAACGGATGTACATACCTGAGCAACTGGAAGAAGATCCAGAATATTCCTTTAACCCACAGAGTTACTGTGTGCTCTCAAGCACTCCCACCCTCTACCCCGGCAGTCACTGAAATTACTCTTCAGGTTTGGGGCTACACTGAGTAAAGCAGCTGGGAAGGTTCTTGTACCAATCTCTCTTATGGAGATGTTTTCCCTTCTCTGGGTGAATGCCCAGGAGGAGACTTACTGGTCACAGGATAGCTCTGAGTGTTTGACTTTGTAAGAAACCTCCAGACTGTTGTCCAGAATGGCTATGCCATTTCCCACTGTGTGAGGGCTACAGTTGCCAGCGTCCTCACCGACACTTAGTATTTTTCACATTAACTGCTGTGGTAAGCATGAATTGCCACTTCCCTGATCAACAATGATGTTGGACATTGTCTTTCGGTGGGGACAGTGGGTACTGGGACTCGAACTCAGGACCTCACACTTTGGCACGTTTTTTTTTTTGTTTTGTTTTGTTTTTTTGGCATTTTAAATAGGAAACTATTTCCAGAGTTGTAATTGTTTGTATTCTCTGCTTTTTAAATTTATGCCTCACATTCTTCTCTTACCCCATTGTCTTTATAACCATTATGTTTCTGACTCCCCATATCCCAGCCAAGGAGTTTTCCTTATTTATTACTTCACCCTTTTCATAGATGTTTAAATTATTTCCAGTCTCCCATGATTCTAAACAATGCTGGCAGTAACAGCTTAGTACGTATATTTCCCTTCATATTTGAAGTTTGCACACTTATATAGATTTGTGTTTCTGTTCCCCCTGTTTTTTATTCATTCTTTCCATATTTCAGATTGCTTCCTCCAGATAAATTCCAGAGATGGGATTAGAAGTCCCCCACATGCGTGTGACCCTCAGTCTTCACAAAGCTCATGGCAGTTCCTAGCCAGTGTCTCTGGGGCCCTGTGCCAGGTGATGAGGTCCCCACCATCCCTCACGCAGCGCTTGGGGACAGTGGGCTTCCTCAGCCCTGGAGTCAGACTGAAAGGAGGGGAGAGAACTCTGGAGTGACTAGTCCTTTGGAATGGTGCCTGCGGGAGAGCCAGACCCACACAATGGCGGCCCCAGGGCTCCTGCACCAGCAATGCCCAGCATGAGGGACCTGGCCAGAGGAGGTGTTTGGATCTGGTGTCTGTCAGGGGACTCCAGGGGGCCCGTGGCAATAATTACTAGCGCTCAGAGGAGGGGTCGGGGAGGACCAAAGTCATCTGCAGGACACTGCAACAAAGGCACAAGCAAAAGTTACCAGGCCTCCTCTGGCCACAGCTGCTGGTACTTTCCTCGGGTGACCTTGGTGACTTGTGAAGGGCATATTGTCACCATCTGCCCTGAGACCATATACCCAGCAATTCAGAAGGTCCACGCCTGCTAAACCAGGTCACATCTTTCTCCTTCTAACCATGATCATCGTTTTGTTTGTTTGTTTTGCTATGCTGTTTAGGCTGGCCTCAAACTCTCAGCAATCCTCCTGCCTCAGCCTCCTGAGTGCTGAGATCACAGTGTGGGCCACCACACCCAGATATCCATGATTTTATCAGGACAAATACCAGGAAAGCAGGACACAGGGGAACTGAAGCATCTCAGGAAGGTGTGTTTTCAAACTAGTTACTACGTGGACACCCAGGCTGGGTCCTTGGGGACCTCCAGGCCTGGCTGCTACCACATGGAAAAAACGCCCATACCAGGACAGACACCTACAGCAGGGAATCAGGCCTCCATCACACTTGCAATGGCTGGGCCTGAGACTTTCGGTGACATCAGTTGCGCCCCGGCTCCGGCTGGCCCTGGTGATGAATGGATCCTCAGTAAAGCCTGTGGTGGAAGCCAGAGGCTCAGCCTGCTTTGGCCTCAAAGCCGAGCTCCTGTTTGCTCTCAGACAACCTCAAAATACTGCCGCCAATGGCCTCGCTATTCCAGGATCAAACCCAGGAGACCAGCACCCCTCTGGGACTCTCAAAGAGATGCTCCTGGTACGTTAGCACTGTGGGTGTGTGGGTCCCCCCAGGCCCGCCGAATAGAGGTCTCCAGGGGTGGGCTGTGTGGTTTCACAACCCTCCCTAATATGTGACATCCACTGCTGAAACTAAAATTTAGGATCAGCTAGCGGTTTCCAGAGCGGAGCCTTGGATAGTCCCCACCCCGGCCCCAAGCGCCAGAGGAATGAGGCTGGGAGCTGCAGGGTGAGTTTCTCTTTTCTTCACAGCCTTATTAAATATAAACTGCACCTAATTATCAAATCCCAACAATGGAAAGTAGCCCAGGCACACGTAAGGCAGGAAGATAACCTGAGAGACAGCTGTGTGGGATTTAACCAGAGGGGGATGGACTTGCTGCCTGTTTGTTTTCCTGAGCTAATATTTAAATTCTTTTGCTTGCCCTGAGGCCACCAGGCAGACTGTAGGGGAAGAGGTAGGGATAACCCAGCAGAGAAAACGTGAAAAAACTGCCTGAAATTTTAAATGAATGACAAGAAAGCATTGGGGGTTGGACCTATCAGTTCGAGGACTGTGCAAAACATAGGCTTGATTTGAGCCAGGTGTGATGGCCCACTTCTATAATCTCAGCACTCAAGAGGCTGAGGCAGGAGGGTCTTTGAGAGTTCCAGGGAAGTTTGGGCTACATAATGAGTTCAAGGCCAGCTTGAACCAACCATGCAGTGAGACCTTATCTCAAACCAGCCAACAAAAACAAAACAAAAAGGAAGGGGATGGTTTCATTGAGTGACCTGAAGCCGGCAGGGACAGGGATTGTCCTGGCAAATGGCAGTGGGGTATTTTGCCTGCTGCTGTTCCCTGGCCTATGTGTCCCTGTCACAGATGCCTCTCAGTGCTTCTCTAGTGTTGCCCACCTGGTCCCTGACCCTACTGTGGGGCCACCTGTGGTGTGACATCACAATGTCGTCTGTGCAGGCCTTGGAGTGCAGGACCTTGTTGACCTTCCCAGGGCGGGCCCTGGTCCTCAGCCACCCAGGTGAGCTGCCTGCTGCGGCCTTTGCCTTATTGGATGCACCTGGTGAGTTCTCAGACCCGTCCCCACCCCACTCCCCGGGGGGTGGAGGGTGGAGCCCAGCTGACAGCAGGGCAGGACCAGTGGTAGGGACAGTGAGGTGGCCTGAGCTCTCCCCAGTCGGTGCACCTGGCCTCTCCCTCTGCGGAGCCGTCTGCAGGCACCTCAGCTGACCACCTGCTCTGGCTCCCTGGACAAAGGTCACTGTGTCCTTGTTGGGCGCTGCTGGGTGGATAGGCCAGCTCTGGGATGACAGGTCCATTAGAACATTATTCCTAGCCTAGCCCTGGGTGAGGTCCTGGCAGCCACTGGCCAGGGTCACACAGCACAATGGTGGGAGCAGAGCCACCTTCCTACTGTTGTGATTGACACAAAATCCGCTACCCCAAAATTCCTGCAGACTGCCTTCTGCAGGATGCCATGATATTTCTCAGGCTCATCTCAAATTCCTGGGCTCAAGTGATCCACCTGTCTCAGCCTCCTGAGTACTGGGACTAGGGTTGCACAACACGGGGCCAGCTCTCAATTGTTTTTGATCCAGCACCATGCCCCTCTGAGGCATCAAATCTCTTCCCTTGCTTCTGGACAGTAAGGCTGCTGTGGAGCAGTGACAGGAAGTGCCTGGGTAGAGAACACTGGAAAAGGAGGTGGGGGTAGGGACAGGCTCTCACCCAAGGATGCTGGGCAGTGGCAAGTGGACCCTGGGGTCAGGCTGAGGCCCATGGGCACCAAGCTGGGAATGGCACAGGGAGGGGTGGAGCAGCCTTTCCAGGCCTGAGTCTTCAGGAGGCTCAGGACTGAGCTGTGTGATGCAGCGGACACGGGATCCCCATCAACATCCCCAGCCCCTGCTGCATGGGGGAGCATCCTGGATGCAATGGTGTACACAGGGAGCTGAGGACACTGAAAGAAAAGACTGCGTCTGCCACTTCCCATCCCGGACCTGACCCACAGCCCCCGGGGAGCAGGGCTCCACTGTGGGTCAGGGCTTCAGAGGTTCTGAGGGTGGCTGCACGGGGGCACGAATGGCACTGGGGAAAGGCAAGGTGGAGGACAGCTGCTCACACCTCTGTGGCAGTCAGGAAGCAGCGGGAGGGAGAAGCAGGGCCTGGAACCCACTCTTCCACTGAGTCCTGGGGACTCCCTCCTACCAGCTACCTTCTGCAGCTCTCCCAGGGATGCATCCCCTTCCCCCACAGGACACTTTGGGGGCCCACTGTGGAGCTGAATCACGACAAGCAGCAAGCAGACCAAAGCAAGAGGGGTCTGTTACCAAACAGAGCCCCTGGCCCCACGTCCTGCCACACTCTGGAATGACGCCCCAGGACGGCCTGGGCTCTGGGTCACCCGTCCTCAGTGCAGAGCTCTCCAGAACAGGACAGTCATGTCACAGCACCCAGGCCTCCACTGGCACAACCAGGACAGAGGACACACCGTCAGCGGAGCTGGATCCACAGACCCCATAGGCCGCTTCCAAGGCGAGGCCGGAGGATACCGGGACTTACATATTTGAGCCCAGGTGGTGAAGCCTCCAAGGACAGTTGAGAATGCACGTTGGTGACAGCGTGGGAGGAAATGTGGGGGCAGCCGCCCTGGTCCCTGCCCTGGCTGTGTGCCAAGATAAACAAGGGGGCTACATTTCCTAGGACAGGGTTCTATCCACTCGCTGAGCTCCCCAGACTGCGCCAGGCTGCCCTGGTGTCATCCTGTGCCCTGGGTCCAGAAGCCTGGGCCTCTGGATTGGATGGCACCAGACAGGGAGCTCGAGACCACGCCAGCAGGTGTTCAGTGCTCAGGGAGAAAATGTGTTCACGGAGCTCAGCTTGGACAAATCGGGGCACCGGCAGTGCCCTGTACCTTTCCACGCCCTTGGACCCCAGAACCAGAGCTCCGTTGAGGTTGTAGAGGCTCCAGGAAGCAGGCAGAAATTTCCTACGGGCTTGGGCTAGAAGACCCTCCAGAAAAAAGCTGGAGCCCCAGGAAGGTAGAGCGTCCCGAAGCCAAGAGGCACGTGGTCTGACCTTGACTTCTGCCCTGACCTAATTCCTCTCTTCTGCCTGTGATGGTGATGGTGACAGTGATGCGGAGCTCCGGGCCTGCAGCCAGTGGGGTGGAGGCTGCGTCTCAGGTTAAACTCAGGGACCATCGACACATGGGCCAGGGCTGCCCAGCAGGATGGCGGCACAGCACTAGGCCCTGCAGGGTTGTGTGACCTCGTTCTTCCCTGTCTTTTGCCCTGGCTTTCCACGCTGTGACTTCCCACCCGCCGTCCCCACTGTGGGCTCTGCTTTCCCTAAGGATGTTTTACAGTCCCCCTTCGAGGGCTTGGGGGCAAGTGTGTCTCCACAGAGGCTGTGTCCCCCCACCCCCCACCCCGCCAGTGGTTCTTTATCTTTCAAAGTCACCGTGTTTGTGTGTCACCTCCTCTCCCTGGGCAAGAATCGCCCTCTCTCAGAGTGCCAGGGGGCCAAGGGACTCAACACCTTGTCCCTGTTGCTCAGCCTCCCCCTTCAATGGGGAGGACAGACTGACACTGTCTTTGTGACCAAAGAACCCAACGCAGGGCTGCAAATAGTAGCACTTGGTCGTTCCCTGTCCTCTGGCTCAGCAGCAGGGCAGGGCAGCTGCAGGTGAGGCCAGTGGGTCCCTCGCTCAGCCCACTGCACCTGTAGCAGGGCCTGGGTGTCCGCTCCCTGCACTCCTTGGATTTCCCTATAGCAGCACAAAGGTCTTGTGCCACCCGGCCATGCATCTCCTGGGAGGGACACAGAAGTCACTGAGCCCAGATGGGTAGCACATGGCCACGTCATGGGGGGCCCAGGATGGGGGGCTGTCCACCCCTAGGGTGGCTCTGTGGATGGCTCCCAGTGGGCTTCTGAAAGCTGGCATGTGCACAGCCCCAGGGAGCAGGGCTGGTTGAGTGCTGACTCACTAGGTGGGAGAACCCCAAAATTTGGCCTACCAACCGGCTCCAGCAGAGCTGGGCCACCTCTGCAGGGAGCCCCGCTGGACTGGGGTTCCATCCCACAGCCAGCAGCTGGCTTCCTCACTGCCTTGTAACATGCCCACGTGAAGCTGTGGCACAGCCAGCCAGGTCCCCCGACCCAACACACCCCTCATTCAACTGCTTCCTCCTGAGCATTTCCTCTGCATGCCCTGGTGGCTCCTGCAGTTACAGGATTAGAAAGCAGAAGCAGACTGCGAATGCCCCGCCTCGATGGCTAGCTGGTGATTTTTCAGCCTTATAGATGGCACGAAAGTGATACGCACGAGATGGCGATGGGACCTGAGATTTTGTGTTTTGTGTTTATTAGCACACACTTGAAGTGTGTGACAATCACGTTCACTGGGCACTGGCAGTGGCACAGGCCCAGGCATGGGCAGCACCTCTGTTCTTTTCCCATCTCCTTCCCCTCCTTCTCCTCCCTCCATCTCTTTGTCCTTTTCCCATTTACAAAAGACTGCTCCCCATTTCTTCCTATCTCTTATTTTACCCTTTAAAATTACCTATACTCTGGGTTTCTCAAGTGAGAGAAGCCATGCGCAATTTCAGCTCGTGTGTCTGATTCATTTCATTTAACATTACGACCTCAAGGGGCACCCACTTTCCTGGGATGACTCGCTCACCCTTCTGGATAGCAGAGCAGGGCTCCACCATGTGTAAACCTTACCTCTCCGTTATCCGGGCCTCTGTCAAGGGCTGTGCATGCTGCTCTGGGCTTGGCTGTTGTGAGCGGCGCTGCGTGTGGATCTCTGTGATATGACGTCTTCTGTCTCTCAGGACAGTTCCTCAGAGGGGAATAGCTGGGTCCAGGGGAGTTTCGTGTTGCTATCTTTTCCCTCACCAGTGATATTCATTCTGATCCTCCCTAGGTTCCAGGCAGCAGCAGCAAGCTGTTCTTAATAAATCATGTGAGATATTCAGCACTGTGCTATACAACAGGCTTTGTCTTTTTATGATTTTGCCCAAGTGCTAGGCTCCTGTGTTCTGAACATGTATAAGGTACACTGTGATGTTCTGTAGATTGGGTCAATGGAGTGAACTTCTGATTTATGATATTTCCAGTTTGCAAAGGTTTTATCAGGATATAATCCCACCACAGGTCATAGGACAGTTGTAGTTAAGGAAGAGAATGGCTTGGAGCAGGCTATGGCTTCAGGATTGGCTCTATCTAGGTCCTCAAGAAATATTCTTGGAAACTTGGCCAGAACCGGGTGGGGGTGATGCTGATGCGCACTTGTGATCCTAGCACTCCAGAGGCTGAGGCAGGAGGATCACTGAGAATTTAAGACCAGCTTTGACCAGCCTAAACTGCATAGTGAGACCCTGTGTCAAAAAAACCAAAAAGGAAAAGGGAGCTTGGGCAGCGGGGGAATTTGGGGACTCTTGTCTGGCAATCATCAACCCAAGTCACCCTGCAGTCCGAGCAGGCAGCTCCTGTAGCCCGAAAGGACACGCGCACTATGGGTGCTCTCCGGGCAGTCGAATGTTCTAGACCCCCATCTGCCCAGGGGAGAACAGAGCCTGAGGCTGCTTCCCACAACCCACCTTAGATGCCACTCTCAGCCTGGGCCCTCTTGCCGGTGCTTCTGCTCAAGCAGCTGTAACATGGGTCAGTCAGAAGCTTCCCGACTCTGGAACATCTAGGGTCACTGTTTAGGGCGCAGCCCCACCTGGGCCCTCGGCAGTTCTCTGTGCTCAGGTTGTGGCAACTTTTTGCCCCAGCACAGTGGCACTGTGGATGACCGAGTGGAAATGTGGTTAGCATGGTGTGACCCAGGACAGGTAAGCAGGCCGGGAGCCCACAGTGGGCGTCTGTCCAGCTTCTCCTTGGCCACTGTGGAGGCTCCCTTCCCCCAGGGGAGGGAGGACCCCCTCTGGAAGCAGGAAGCTCTCCTGTTTTCTATCAGATCAGACACAGAATTTCCTTCTGACAGCCAAGGATGGGAGAAGATTAGAGTTTCTGTAACCCATCTTGGGGTGAGAATTTGAACTCCAGAATTTC